ATTCCAAACATGAAAACAGAGACCCAAAACCATGGGTTTTTCATCTTCCCTTTTCCAGCATTTCTTGCTTGTTCCAAGCGGTTTATTTTCCTAAGCAAGCCTAGAATTATGTGCTTCGATCTGTCACACATCTCTGAGTCAGCTCATTCCCAAAATGTACATCCATTCGTCTGCATAAACGGAAACAATGTTTTCAAACAAAGAGGTGCAACATCACAATTGGAATCCACGAAAATCCCAAATGTCAGCTCAAACTTACAGAGAAATACACTTACCCTTGCACATACTTGAAACCTCCTTCCAGGATGAGAAACCGTCCACGATGTATGTGTTTTGACAACGTTCCCACAGTAGCACAACCGTGAACATACTAAACTCGCGTCTTCCATTTCCCATCGAGCTCTTGAAGTCGACTCTTGAGCATGCAAGCGAGACCTCACTGACTCAACTGCACCGCTATGGAGGCTCCTCTTACTCATCTCCTTGTTTTGTCTGTATGAATTGTTGTTCAAGTTGTGCGATATTTAGGGTTTTCAAGAGGGTCATCTTGTATTCAATGGGTTTCACTTGCATGTGCACAATTTGGAGGGAAAACCGTGTGAGCGCACAAACATGAAACCTGGAGTTAATGGGGTGGTTTTTATCAAAAATATCAATCTTTACAAGTGTACAAATTTGAACTCTGTGGAAGGTAATTACGTTATACTTCGAAACTAAAATGAATGCATCCAAATTACATCAACTGCAGTTTTCAAACTTCCAGCATACAACAAAAAAGAAGGGCACCTCAAACGTACAGAATACAAAGGCCACCTCAAACTGGCATAATACAAAATAACAAAATAGCCCAGCTCAAACTTACATAATACAAAATTAAAAAAGAGGTCACCTCAAACTTACATAATACAATCTTAACAAAGACGACACCTCAAGCTTACTTAATACATATCTACAAAAGAGGCCCCCTCAAACTTACATAATACAAATTAAATAAATAAACAGTGCACCTCATACGTAGATAATACAAAAAGAAGGCACATCGTTCTTTCCACTGTACACAGTTTGTCCACAATAGTTGACATGGTAATATTAGAAGTCATACTTTCTGTCTGTGGACACATTTGGAGTTGCATACCCTTCAAATGCGGCGACCGCGACCCATAAAATTCATAACCCCTCCCACAGTGATGTCCCACTTTCCTTCTGCATCCACAATTTTTGCAAACTTCCTAAATAGTTTGAAACCGATTCCAGTTGTTTTTGCTTCAACTGAGCCATTTCCTCAGATTCCTTGAATACAATAACTGCAGTGGCCGGGGCATTTTCAATTTTAGCTAGCACAACCTTATATGTAGGAGATGCATCTGGGCGTGATAATGCGCCCGAATTGTGTGATTTTTTATGACACCCCACCTAGCTTGGCCCTCCTTAATTTTTAAAACTATGTTTGCATGGAGATTTTTCCAGAACATGGTATTGGCTCGACATTGCTGCAGTCCATGGACCCACTCTTCAGTGTCTTGTGTTGCTGATTTGGCAGGTGTTTCAGTGTCCCCTCCTTCAGTAATGGCAAGGGTTGGGTTTGGTGTGAGGTTTGGGTCCATGGGCATTGGGTATTTACTGCGGGTCGGTGTGGCCATCAGTTTGCCCAAATTGGAAGTAATTGTCATGTGGGTGAAATTGTTGCGCAAGCAGGGGGGTTTGACGGAGTAAATGTGATGGAAATGTTGGGTGGATGCAGCTGGGTTATAATTAAATAGTGGGAGGTAATAATGACCAGGAGTAAATGACAATGAGCAAGTGGCGGGAGTTATTGGCGGGAGTTGTTGGGTCCAATTTTTGGCGGGATTTATAGGGCAACACGTTTGACTTGGGGTTTGTGTAATTGGGTATATCACTATTCTTTACCATTGGTTGGTGTTTGTTGTATGGGACCCTTGTTCTATTTGCAATTTATTCCTTTTGTCCTCAAACACAAATTTCCCTCATGTAGCAAAAGTACAAAATGTCCCAAATTTATGAGTACGGTAATTTGACAATGTACCAATGCAGACTTTTACAAAAATGGACCATGAAATTATTTGTGTTTCCAATTTCCTTTTTGCTGTCTTCCAAATTCCTTTAAATGAGTTCCATTTTTTAATATATGGGTAAATTCCTAATTGTGATTTTTGATATTTGCAAATCTGTTTAGGCGTTTTCCGCCCACTTTACGTTTTCTTCACCTTGAAATTTTGTTCAGGACTGTTTTGGTGTTATTCATTTTTGTCATATGGACTTTCCCATTCTCGTCATTTGTAGGGAATACTTAGTAATTTATAAACATTTATGTAGATTTCGTAAATTGAGAATTAGGGAACTTGCTAGTAAGCTATTATTCCTATGTGAGGACCTTGAATATTAATATAGTATACAGTTTTTTATTAAGGTTTTGTTTAATTTGTGTATTCATAGTTGTTCAGGTGTGTATATTTGTACGACCTATTATTCCAACGTTGACATACGTTTATTCGTATTTGGTCAGGCTGTAATGGGCATATTACAATGCTCTCACTGACGGAGAGGAGTAATGGGTGCAGACTGACCTGTAATGTACTATTTGAAATAAATATAAAACAGACAACTCTTCTCTCAGGTTAGGGTCTAACTTACTCATTGAATTCCATATAAAACAGAGTACTTCGTATATATCATATAGCAAAGCTGTACAAAAGCTCAACCTATTGTTGGTTACGAAATAAAAACTGTAGACTGAACCTAACGTGAATTGTTTTGCAGGGTGCATGTGTGCATTTTCCCCATCCATAGTTGAAGATGTCAGACGTAATCCCTCCAAACGACCATGTCAGTTACCCGGGAGACTAGCCATGGCATGTCCCTTTCCCATCTCTACCTGGGACTCCAAATAACGATCCCACGTCATCTGGAAGTGAGGCTAACAACAATGATCCCCTAGACAAAATAGCTGGAGTGAAGCATCACCTCCAATATTTGTGTACGACTACGGATTGGTGGGAAACGAAATGTGATATTCATGGCCAGGTGATGGGGAACTTGACGAACAAGCTGAACAAAGCATATGCTGGAGAAGTGAAGCAAACAATGAAAGCAAAAATTTGGAGCGCAAAGTTAGACTCGTTGAAGTTAAAATTGGAAGAAACAAAGAAAGATGTTGTCCACAAATTCACTAAATCTGAAGAATTTAACCATGAAATGGTTGAATGTTTTAACAATGGGTTCGAGATGTTCCGAGATTATGCTTTCGTCATCTCACCAGACTACAATTGGAGCGAAATAGATGTTGCTGGTGTCTGGGAGGTGCTGAATAGGTGTGGCCAGGGAATGGGTGATCATAGCCTTGTGCATGTAGCAAGGAAGAAGACAAAGGACATGGATCTATTGATGGACCTGTAAACATTTGGATTTTGGTAGGCTTTGTGTAGCCGGGTCAGGGTAAGTACGGGTTCGAAACATTATGTGGACACAGAATGGCTTTTGTATGAATGTGGTGCCTTGTTTACGCCTTCCTCTTATTCTCACCGTTGAGTGGCAAATTAGTAAGTTTGTATAAATTTGAAGTGCTGTGAAGTGGATGTGTGCTTATTGTACGTTGATTGCCCTCATATTGAAAGCATTATGTATTTATATTGTAGTTATATTGAAGCTTTATTGCCGCATATTGGAATCATAATGTACTTATATTGTGGTTTTATTGCTGCTTTATTGATTGGCACTATAAAATATAACCTCTACATCTGAGTAATGGTAAAGCTGTACTGTAGCAAATGTCGTAATTATGGAGGGTTTCAGAAAGATGGGTGGTTCTTAAGCACGGAAATATCCATGGAAATATCGGAAATATATCGATTCTAATAACAATTGGATGCAAACCACGGACACTATAAATAAATGCAAATTTGTACTAAGAACAAAAATAAAGTTATGAAAGGAACAATTAAATATGAAATAAATAGAAGGATTATCGACATTTAAGTAATGAAGCAACAATTTCAAGGGAAAGTTAGTAATTTCAGTACTTATAATGAACCTTCGAATTAAATAAGCAATAACATGAAATGGATTAAATATGGAAGAAATTCATGACATTAAGTAATGAATTATTTGAGCAACAATATAGAACACTAAGTAATTAATTTTTATTTTGCAAAACAGGTTGGAAGACTTATAAATACCAGAGTCCATAGGCACTAATCACAAACCGATGACTGCCGTTGTGGTTAAGTAGCTCAGAACCTGGAAGAGGGGAAGGGTTTCATCCTCTGTGTGTGTGACTTGAAGTGAATAATTTTTTTTTTAAATTTCATATTGCGATAGTATCAATATGATAGATAATATCGCGATCTGTTGACCATATGTAGTCAAACACATAGGACATTTCACCTTGAATTTGCCCCACATCTGGCCCATGCATCGGCCGAATTTGTAATCATAAAAGGTATAGTCGGAGTATCACGGTAACTATGTAATAAAGGAATTCTAAGAACTTTAATGTTTCATATCCATTTCGAATTACATTACAGGCCCTTTAATTTCGCACTCACAATTTACATTTCAATGGCAATACCAGTACAATAACAATACAATATAATAGCAATCTGGAAGCAATACAACATGCTGTTTAGTAATGCAACCCAAATTATGCAAATTTAAAAGAATTCCCATTCAACATAACACAAAACCCACCACAAATAAAAGTAAAATTTACATAACCTACCAAAGCAACACAAATGATATTGTCTAAGTTACATTGGCAATGGAATATTGTTTTTACAGGTGCTTTTATTGTGGCCTGCGGAACCGCACCTTGAGCACTTTCTTGTAATGGTGCCCTCTCCTTGCGAGGGAATTCTTATCTTCTTTCGTCTGCCTGGCATGACCCTTGCCATGGGAGGCAGCACAACTCGACTTCGAACATCTTCAGGAATATCCCACATTCCGTGAGGCTGTACAAGGTAGATGCTATCCGAATAAGCATCCATCTAGGTTTTCTGAGTGTAATACCGAGAAGCCTTCGAGTATACATTTACTTTCAAGAAGCGGCAAACTACAACTACATGCTTGCAAGGTAGCTGCTCAAGCTGAAACTTTCTACAACTACAACTGTTGTTCGTCAAATCTACGAGGCATTGCATATCACCGTCCAAAACATTAAACTGTGCGTTATTTACTTTAACGACATTCATCCTTCCAGCATCCTCCAACCTATTCCTCAACTTCTTCTCTCCAAAATTGGGGCACAATGTTGTTGTGCAATTCAAAGCCAACTCAGGACGTTCGGTGAACCATTTCACAAGGAGATTAATAATTTCCCTTATCAAATGAACCAGTGGCAGCATCCTTGCAAACCTAAGGACTGAGTTGATTGACTCCGCAATATTTGTTGTCATTACATTGTAGCGGCGTCCATCCATGTGAGCTCTAGACCACTTATGTAACCCTGCCTCTTCAAGATATTGAGCAACATGTTCCTTTCACTTGATCTTGCGAAAATGACAATCAAATTCAGCAATGGAATAAGATTTCGCAGCTGCTCAAAGTGCATAAGTATTTGATCACGCTTTTTCAACTTGCAAGTGCATTTCATGTTCCTCTTCATATGATAAAATCATATGCCATGTTGCGCAGTTGGAAAAACTTTGTTTCACACATTCTCTATGCTAACATTGTGATCAGAAATAATAACAAGATTGGGACACTCACCAATGGCTTCATGAAGTTTAGTGAAAAACCAATGCCATGATGCATCCGTCTCCAAATCACCGATCCCAAAAGCAAGAGGATATATATTTCGATTACCATCGAATGCATTTGCTACAAACATAACACCCTTGTACTTGGATTTTAAATGAGTGGCACCACGGCTATCACTGGGCGCATGGAAGAACGAAACCCTCTAATACATGCGCCAACCGCCATAAATAAACACACAAAGTGATTGCTCTCATCAGTTTGGATGTGTGTTTTTGTGCCGGGATTCATACGCTCCAATTCATAGCAATAAGCTATAAGGATATAATATGCCTCCTTTGTTGATCCTCTAATGGACAATAGAGCTAACTCCCTTGCTTTCCAACCTTTCGAATAATATATGGTGAAACCAAAGTTGTGTTTCACATCTCTCATAATGTCACTTGGTGTGTATATTGTCCGAGAATCCTTAAACTTCCTTTTAAATGAAGTGGCTACAAGTGTTGCGGTTGCTTGACGATGCTCGTCACTTACGAACCTCAAATCACATTCATGGACAGTTGTACACCTCACAATCATGAAGCTGTATTCTCCAATTCTCGATGCTCGGACCCGCCATGGGCATGGACGTTGACAACAAACCACAAGCAACCTCTTAGTGCAAGAGAATTACACCTTAAATTCAAAATGGCCTCTTAATGCCGTCAACCGTAACTCCGTCAACAATGCTTTCTTACTAGAGAAAATTTGCCCAACTGTAATTTTCGGATTCCAATCACTTCACGAAAACCCGCTGTCCAAATATGCTTCTCCATCATTTACACCGGCTTCATTGTACCGGTTCTGTTCACCCATTTGACTCCAATAATGTTCACGAGTGGATTCAGATTCTCCTCCTAAACGCATTACTGGCAATTGGGCAGATGTGTTCAAGCATACCAAAATAGGAGGGGCAGAGTACACTGACACTTCATTTCTTTCAGTATCATTATCACCCCCGTGCATCTCCTCCACCTCGCTAAAATCAATCATATCCATAAAATATGTCCCTACTTCACCTCCCACATCAGTGACATTTGTATTATTCCAAGTTACTTCATTGCTTTCAACAATGGCAATTGAAGAACGACCCATCTTACTACTATCTGTCGTGATATGCGTACTATCAACTACTTCATTTGTCAGTCCTTTATCTTCTATAATCACGAGTAAGGGAGCTAGTTTTGAAGGTGTTACCTCAGAATTGTACTTCATAAAAAAATTTACATCATCATCGTCCTCAATCTTTATGTGCTTTCACTCATTCGAGGGCACCAAAACTGATAACTTTAACCAAACCTTGTCTTCCCTGCTGTTTGTATTACCAATCTGATGCACACAGTCCAACAGTTCAGCAAATTTGATGGTTGAGTCACCCCCTTCGTATTTGCACATCTTCTTCGAGGTGACCCATTTTCCATTGTAGCACACAAGAATAACAATTGTCTCCATTTCTGACCATGACAAAACAACATTTCATTAACACAATATAACCACAATAACAAAACAATACAATGCCAATATAACAGCAATATAATGGCAATATAACAGCAATATAACAGCAATACGACAGTAAAATAATAGGACCACAACAGCAGTACACCACTAACACATCAGAATCACACTATACAGATCTACTACATCAAATAGAAAATCCCAAGTTTCAAGATTCATATATCCAGACCAATCTAAATGCAATTGGTACAAACCCAGATGAATCAGCATGGATATTCAACAAAACCTAACCCAAAGCAATTAAAGCCAAAATGAATTTAACACAAACCCAAACAATCAAAATATAACCCATTTCACATAATCCCACTGATATTACGAAAATAACCATCAATACTACCTTTTCAAGGTCGGCAATCCACTAGAGCTTCAAGGTTGCAAGCAGTTCTTCAGAAGACATACCTAACATATGGGGTCAAGGGAGGGGTTCGTGATTCCATACAGACAACAAGAGAGCGAATAGGGGGAGAAAGAGACGGGACGAAGCTAAAGAGAGAAAGAGTTGCCCTAGAGAAAGAGAGCAAAGAGAGAGACAGAGAGTTGCGCTAGAGAGAGTGAGAGAGCCAAGAGAGACATAGAGAGCTGCGATAGACAGATACCAAAGAGAAAGAGAGCTGTGCCAAAGAGAGAGAGAGAGCTGAGTGAGCTAAAAGAGAACAAAATTTCTGAACGTGTGAAAAATCAGCAATAAGTGGACAATAATTATATATTTATAGGTGATAGTTGTAAAAAAAAATTAGAATATGGTGGTATTTTGACAAAAAATTATAAAAAAAGGTGGTATTTTGCGCTATTTCCCAAAAAAAAAAAACCCAACACATCCCTGCTCCCCCAATCGCACCAAATCCTCCCCTTCCTTCTCTGTCCTTGTAACCCCCCACGCACCAGAAACCCAAAGCTCCCCACAACCTGCAACCCACCCTTCTCCCTGTGCAGAACTTGGAAAGCCATCACCCCCCACCTACAACCCATCCCAACCTACGCAGAACCCAGAACCTATTCCTCCACACAACCCCCACCCCCTCCCTGCCCAAAACCCAAAAACCCCCTCCCCTGGTAAACCACTCTCCCTGGGCAAAACCCAAAAACCCACCCCTCCGCAAAAATCAAAACAACCCATCCATCCCAAAAATCAAAACAACAACCCTCCCTCTGTTTTTTCTACCCCACTCCCATAGAACCCCAACCCCCATACCCATTAATTAGCTTTCAAGTTTCGTGCCTCCCATCCCAAAACAACGAAGAGAGAGAGAAAGAGTTGGGCTGCCAATTATCTCCATCTAGAAGAATAGAGTTATTTTGGAAACAACATTTTTGTTATTCCCAGAAAAATAGCAAGGAGCCCCTCTTTGGTACATTCATGTATATAATGAAATGTGTTTGCTACAATTGTTCTTAGTACATGCATTTGTATTTCTTAATGTTGTGACTTTCGACAGGATAATCTCTTCGCTGTTGATATTCTCTCAGCTTGCAATCTTGTAAACTATTTTGGGAAAATGGTTCTTGGGGGTTCTGGTGTTGGTCAGATCACTGTGTATCAGGAAGGTTAGTTTAAGATATGAGAGAGAGAGAGAGAGAGAGAGAGAGAGATCAATTTTTAAAAGTTTTAAATTTTATGTTTGTATTTTAATTTTTTAAAGTAATTACTTTTTTATTAATTTTTTTTATTCATGATGGAGGTGGGCTCGACTTTGACACATTACCCACTTAAATTTATGAATAAAAAACTTAGGTGCACAAAATTACTAAAACACCTTTGCCACGTCATCGAACTTAACAGATTTTTGGATAAAATTGACTGTAGGGGGCACTGTGGGACATCAAATTTTGGTCAAGGGGGCAAAGTGGGTCACTTTAACTTCCATAGGGTAAAGTGAGAATTGACCAATGTTTCAAGGTGCACTGTAGCAATTAAGTCTTGATAAAATTAGTCAAATTGAAACTACATGATGGTAAAAATGGTAAACTACACAGATTAAAAGCGACTTTTTGCCTTAAGCAAATAATAACACTTTTGGTGGTGGGTTAAGTCATAGAACACTTCCATGTAACGGTTAGCCGAGATGTTTTGCTATCCCCCTTGCAAGTAAGTTTTACTGCGTCTTGCTGTTTCATTTGGAGCTTTTTGTCATACTGTGACTCTGCGATTCCAACCTGAGGCAATGTCTGCAGTGAGAGATCCAGCCATTAAGCTCTTCGGGAGGAATATTCTGGTGCCGGAACGCCAGATTCCGGATATGTCCGTACATAATTCCAACGAAGAATGTTGGGTTGCAGATATGCCCAAAGCTGCCATGGTAAGCTTCATATGCCAATCGACTCTGAGCTTCTTTGGGTTGCTTTATTTTGTTTTCATAACAAGTCTCTGCGTTTTTTCCTTTTTTCTACTCTGTTTTCCAGTTTTGGTATCTGGGCTTCTACTGCTCTACAATATTCTTTTTTCTATTTTGTAGAAAATCACATATAACTGACTGCTTTGTTTAGCTTTTAAATTGTTATGTTTCGAATTTCAGGACGTTGTGTTCTTCCTTCATATTACTTAAAATGTTAAATACCATAAAGTTTTGCTGGATTTGCTTTACAAGCAGAAGGGGCAGCTTATAGAAAGATTTCAACCAAATTTCCTCCCACCAATAAAAATAAGCATGAACCCACATTTTGTTTTTGTTTCTCATTCGTGATTAGTTATTTTGGAAATCATAATTTGATAATGTGTGGATGATGTGAGGAGATTTATATAGATTGTAACTTGGTATATAGTATCTGGGCATGTGGCTGCAGCTTCATTTTGTAACTATCATTTGTTTTTAGCTTTTTCTTGGCCATGAACTTAATTTTTATTAATGCATGTAATTGATGTTATTGCTCATCTTTGATGCCGAATTCCTTGTTGTACATGCGGAGAATTAACTATAACTTGCTGTTATTGCGATTTGAGTGCCGTAAACAATCAAAATTTTCAATTTTCAGAGTGAGTGTAGAGAAATGGAGGACCCTTCTGTGAAAGTATCCTGCAAGCAAGATCAATTTTTTGAACTAGATAAAGGCAGTGAAAACAATCACCATGGTCAAATATTGGAGAATGAGGGTGAAGTTGATTGTAATCCAGAAGAAGATTGCATTGCAAGTGATACTGATGAAGGCAAAGAAAAGTCTTTCACAAAGCCAGAGAAGGTTCTTCCTTGCCCTCGCTGCAACAGCTTAAAAACAAAGTTTTGCTATTTTAATAATTATAGTGTATACCAACCGAGGCACTTTTGCAAGAGCTGCCGAAGATATTGGACAGCGGGGGGAACAATAAGAAATCTTCCTTTAGGGACTAGGCGGCACAGGAATAAGCATTCATCTTCACAGTATCAAGTTGTGGGCGAACCGAGTGCAGTACCAGTCACCCAAGGAGACACCCTTAACTTTGTTGGCCAACAGCATCTATTGCCTGTTCAACTTCCTGCCTCTCCAAAACCTGTCAATGGGATGAGGGAAGTCTTAAATTCTGGCACAGATACAGTTTTAGTTGAATCTATAGCGACTGCGCTTAATCATAAAGACCAGAAGAGAAGTTCTAAAGATGGCTCTGCAGCCGCTGGAGATAATAGTGAGGAGCCCTCATCATCCAGCTCTTCCTTGACAGCCACTACTTCACAGCAAAATGCATGCCTGGGAAAAGAAATGGAGCAGGTTGATCTGCCAAGATATAGAAACGATTATAATCTTACATATACTGAGCAATATTTTCCTGTTCCACAATGGACTGAGAACCCAAGTTGGGGCATGATGATGTTTGGACCTCATAGCAATAATCCTAATCCTTCCCATATGGGTTCTCTGCCTATGGTTACAGTTCCAGGTTTTTGTATTCCCAGTTTCATTTTCCCAATTGCACCTTCCTCATACCAGGGTTACATGCCAAGCTTGGATGCTAGAAAATGGAACGCTCAATTGGTTGGATCTGATGGCAGCTTGTCACCTTCATCTTCCAATGGCAACAGCAGATGTTCAGGCAATAGCTTGCCAAGATCGGGAAAATATTCTAGAGATGCAAATGTACAGGCAGGAATAAAAACAAAACAGTGCCTTTGGGTACCCAAGACATTGAGAATTGATGACCCAGATGAGGCTGCAAAGAGTTCTATATGGTCTACCTTGTGTATCAAACCTGATAAGAATGCACCTATACTTAGAGGTGGTATTTTTAAAGCTTTCCAAAAGAAATCAGACACTAAATCCCAAACACTAAATGCTGATCGAGTTTTACAAGCAAACCCAGCAGCTCACTCTCACTCCCAATTGTTCCAGGTGACCAACTGATTGAGTTTGATATACAGAGTTATGTTTGCGGTTTGTCTACCGATATCCCAGTCTTTGTTCAGTAAAATCAGGAGTGAATGCTTATCATGTCTACATTCTAAGCTTAATTTGGTTGTGGAGGAAGAAGGCAGAAGCTAGTTGAGACAATTTTCAGGCATTTCTTTAGCTTTTCTCTTGAACAAAGTGAGTAGCCAGCCATCAAGATTGTTGTATAAGGTTTGGTCCTATAACAGGTGGCAAATTGAATTCTTAACAACCAAGTCATACATAACATGGTATATGTATCTCAATTTAATCCAAGACCATGGTGACAAATAAAAGGGAACGATTCCTTGGAGGAGAGTTTAATATTCGGAAGGTAGAAATGCGACTCTGCGACTGAAGGTACAGTTTTCTTAATCCGCAGTCCACAGCCGTTGAGATCAGGATACTAACTCTTAATTGTTTTTTCCTTCATAAATTTTGAAGGATTGATCTCTCAACGTGTGAAACTTTTTGTATTTGATGTATTTTTCCAAGCCCTCTAACATTTATCAAGTATTCATATTGCAATGTGAACATCCATAGCCCCCCTTAGCACTCCATCATGGGAGGTAAAAGTATGAAGAAATGTCAGTGATTATCCATAACAATAAAATCTTGAGTCTGATTTGAATAAACTCCGAGTACATACAATTCATTGATCAGCCTGTGTCAATTATGGATTTTAGATCAATGGGGTCCAAGTTAGAATGCCCCGTCAATATCGTAATG